TCCAGACAAGGTGAAGGAGTATCGCAAGGAACGCTATGCCTATGCCGCGGTCGTCTCACACATTTCCCCTCATGTAAAGAAGAGTAGTGTGAAAGTTATCACAACAATGCTGTATTATGGACAAAAGCCTTGACCCCAGCAGGACTCGAACCCACACTTCACGCTTTCCAGACAAGTGCACTCTAGCCTTCTCAGCTTGACAGGCTTTTATCTCTACAGCGCAGTACCATGAAAGACATGAAAGAAAAAGAGAAGGGAAGGGCCAAATAAGAGAGGGTGAAGAGCACGAAAGGAACAAATCTGGTACAATATCGAGTGAGGGTCATTCAGTCCCGTTTTAATCCCACCATATTACATCCTAAAAGGCCTGCCCTGCATTAACCGCGTGTCAGCAAAGAAGAGATCTAACAGTCAAGCAAGAAACTCACTTCTTTCGTTCAAGCTGCTCTATCCGCTTCCTTTCCCGATAACGGAACGCAGCCTCACGATTCAGCCAGCGACGATGATTAGTTTCGTCATCACCGGGAGGCTGAAAGGAACCATTATTGAAAATTCTTTTTTAAAAACAGACCAAAAGCTTACCTTCATTTTCACTCCACGACGCTTCAACGTCCTAATTTGAGCGGTCACGTCTCCTAACGATGGTGTAGAGCGGGCTGAGAGCTCAGAGCATTGGTCCTCCTCTTTAACACAGGGTAGCCACGTCAGAGGACCTGACGACCGGGTTATGGAGCTTTCAATTTCATTCAACCTGCTATTCTGAACAAGTTAAATTGGCTCCCCGGTGATCTAATCCCGCTAACATCTCGCATTCTAGCACTCACCAAGGCAATGTTCTCTGGCTTCGGCTCATATGGATCTGATGAAACGCCTTCAGTTTTCACTTCAACATCACCTGATGCAGCTTGGCAAACTCCCAAGTGGGATTGCTCCTCGCCTGTAGCTTTTTCATCAGGCTTCGCATCCAAATTCAAGTCGTCATCTACACCCAAGTAACTATTCCACGCCTAAAAGCAACAAATGAAGCGCTTTACGTAAGAGAACAATAAGTAGACCACATTAGATTTCTACCTTCCAGTCGATTAATGAAGCAGTTTTATCAAGAAAATCACTAGTCTCATCCTGCGAAGTGGATTCCGGACAGTCGGATGAGCAATCAGATTCAATTTTCTGAAGTACTGCTCAAAACTGTCAATCAAAACGTACTCTTCACAAATCACACTGACACACCGGAATATCTAGGGCTTCAAACTTGTCGATCCATTCCATACTATGTAGAATACTATTCCATTCTGCGCTGTCGTCCAACGTGGAACGTTCGCGCTCTGGAAAAAATGCATTAAATGGAACAATGTCATGTGGGTCTGTTCGGCTTGGTGGGGTATTTTGCTGGTCCCCATCAATCATTTGCACTTGACAAGAGTTTACAGGTCTCAGCCACCTGTGACCTGTAAGTTGTAAAAGTAAAAGGAACTAGCAACAGCGCAAAATATCCCTCCCAAGCCGAGCAGTGCCTCATTTTGGAACGCAACAAAGAGCACACGCCTACCTGGCGTTGTCCTAGGAGAGAGATCATTTTTCAAGTGGTCCAATTCCGATAACTCCGCGAGGAAGTTCTCATGATCGTGCCACAGAAAGGGATCCGATATCGGTGAGCAGCCGGAGCTGAATATATAGAATGTAGCTATCTGGGTGTTAATCGGCAACTCAAAAGTAGTCATATGGCAACATAAAAAGCTTCATGCTTTGCGGCAGCGTTTTGAGCGACTAGGTGAGTATAGTGCGTTAGCCACCGTTCTCAGCGACGCTCGGTACCTGTGGTTTCTTAGTCGCCAAAGCGCTCTGATCGCTCACGCTCGGACGCTCAAAACCCTAGATCGATATTTGTACTTTCTGAATAGGTCAAAACGCTGGCGGACGCCGGAACGCTCGTGGACGCTCAAAACGCTGAATCGATACCTATACCCTAGCGCTCAAAGCGCTTGAGACATTCGAGTCTTGAAAACGCTGAAAGACGCCCAAACACTGCCGTAAAGCGCGAGCATACCCTCTTTGCGAAAAAGGTAAGAGAAGTTCGCGATTCCGGAGTATGAGGGGTATCACCGACAAAGGGAAGAACACCTTTGTTGTTGGTTCGGCGACTGCGAGAGACAGCGGCAAGGCATTCCGAGCCCCGCACGGCAAATAGTGCGTTTCCAAAATTAC